TTGGGCACAATGGAAAAAACTTTTCTAAAAAAAAAAAAAAAAAAAAGGTATGGTAAGCAACCTGTAATCCCCATGTGGCATAGGACTGTCCTCCGAATGGCAAGCTCCTTCTTCTCAAGCTTGGTTGCACCTGCTGGCTTAGGATCATCACAAAACTTGTTGACTACTGACCCTCCGCAAGAAAGGAGGGTCAGGGAGAGTCAGGCACGCCTCCCAACCAGTCAGTCCTAGTTGCACAATGGGAGGGATGAGGTGTACCTAAGCTGAGGAAGCCCTTAAGGAGATGCTCTCTCACCATTTTGTAGGGCTGCTGGGAATTCACGATCCATACCTAGAAGGAGACTAGGGCAGCCCTGGCCAGGGGGGCACCCACACTCCTGTAGTAACCCTTCACCTACTGCTCTGTAAATAAGCCCAAATAAACTCGAGGATTTTCTAAACTGCAGTTTGGTGAAATCATACCTCACTTTGTCATAGGAACCTCAGGAAGGACGAGGCCAGACACTGTTTGCACCTCCCCACAGGAATTTCAGCAACACCCCAGAACTAGGGAGGCTGAGGTAGGAAGATTACCCCAAATTCAAGCAAGACTGAGATACATAGCAAGACTGTTTCAACAAAACAAAACAAAGAAAACAAACCACGCAGCGTCATAATGCTTTCTTTGTCCCAAAGGCCTAGAGTTTCATCAAAACCAGAAATGCTAAACACACATATTAAAAAGCACGCACCCATGCCTTGAGGAAAACAGGAGTTACTGCTCTATGGGATACATTAACTGAGAAAGCAATGATCGAACTGAAGTGGGATTGTCTGAAAATAACAAGGAATAACTCTAATGGCCTCAGATGGCCAGACTAACAGACTATATAGAAAAAGAACTTTTTTAAGAAAAATATTCTTTCGGTCTGGGGAGATGGCTCAGTTGGTAAAGTATTAGCCACACAAGCAAAAGAACATGAATTCAATCCCCAGAACCCAAGTAGAAGCCAGGCTTAGCAGTGTGTACCCGCAATCTCAGCACTGGGGAGGCAGAGTAAAGAGGGTCCCTGAGACTTGCTGCCCAGCCAGTCTAACCAAGTAGGCAAGCTCCAGGTTCAGTGGGAGAGCCTGTCCCAAAAAAAAAGATGGAGAGGGCCATAGAGATGGGGCAGTGGGTAAAGGCAGATGGTAGTTTGGTTTCTACATTGGTGTGATAAACACAATGACAAAAAAGCAACTTGGGGAGGAAAGAGCTTATTTCACCTTTACAGCTTTCAGTTCATCATGGAGGGAAGCCCGTGTAGGACCTCAAGGCAGGAACCTAGAGGTAGGTACTGAAGCATGGACCATAGAGGAACGCTGCTTACTGGCTTGCTCCCCTAGCCTGTGCCTCAGCCAACTTTCCTTTGCATTGCAGGACCACTTACCTGGGGTGGTACCAACCACACTGGGCTAGGCCTTCCCACATCCCTCAACAATCAAAAAAATTCCTCACAGGCCAATCCCATAGAGTACATTCCTCAATTGAGATTCCTCTTTCCAGGTGTGTCAAGTTGACAACTGACACTATCCAGCCCAAGGCACTTGCTGCCAAGCCTGAGGACCAGAGTTCAATCCCTAGGACCTACATGGTAGCAGGAAAGAACTGCCTCCTGCTGGTTATCCTCTAACCTCCACATGTACACTGTCACACACACACACACACACACACACACACACACACACACACAATTAATTTTTAAAAGTAATAAAAATGAAAACAAAAAAAAGGTGGAGAACCATTGAGAATATACCTGACACTGACCTCTGACATATACATGTGCATACACACAAAGAGAAAAAGAAAAATAGTTTCAAACTATAAGCCACAGTGAAACCCTCTTTGCCGTGTCACTGGGATTAGGGAGGACAAGCAATACTGCAATAGAAGGAAATGCCTGTCTAAAACAAACAAGAGCTTAAAGGGACAGCACTGTGTATACAGCGGCAGAATATACAGGAGCCTAAGGAGCAGAGTAAATAGCCAAAGGAAAGCAGAGTTCAGTACACAAGTTGTTTAGAGAGTAACTAACCTTCTCAGACACCATCCCACGAGCTGAGCCCTCCAAGTCCTCATGGACACGGTCCAGCAACCAGAGCAGAAATTCCAGGGCGTCATGTTGGGAATTGCCTTGGAACTGAGAGCCATACTTAGAAACAGCATTCTGAAAGGAAAGAGACAAAGGTCACTTTGGGCCTTGATACAGATGAATGAACAGGCTATGAGCACCAAGCTAGCAAGTGGTCATCATCCAGCCGGGCCTGAGATGACAACATAGAAATGGCATGAGGGGAAATGTCTTTTCTTTCTGACACCTGCCTCCAGCTGGTATGTGGGTCCCTCTAAACAGAAGAGGGCCTCAGGCCTTGAAACTCAATAGTGCCCGGCCAGTGTGATGACTCATCAGATAAAGGCACCTGCTGCTAAGCCTGACAGTCTAAGTTTGATCCCGGGGACCCACATGGTGGAAGGAGAGAACCAGCTCCTGAAAGCTGTCCTGTGGCCTCCACATGTACCACACTCCCCAACAATCCAACAATAAATATAAATAAATGCAAAAATCTTTTTTAAAAAAATAGAAAATCTACAGGGCTGTCTCTGTAGAATACTGTGTGGTAGTGGGGGGGTGTATGTGTATGTGTGTGTTGTATTCATGTGTGTGCATTTCGGGGGCAGGTACAGCTGCCTATGTGTGCATATGTGGAGGCCAGAAGTCAGCTTCAGGTATCTTCCTGTATTGCTCTCCTCCTTAGATTTTGAGACAGGGCCTCTAACTGAAGAGCTCTGTATTTCAGCTAGATTTGCTGGCCAGCAAGCTCTAGGAGGAATCCAGCTGTCTCTGCCCTCCAGTACTGGTGTTACAGGCATGTGCTACCGCTCCTGGCTTGTTTTATTTTTGTTTGGGGGTTTTGTTGTTGTGTGGCTTTTCTTGGATTTTTTTTGTTTGTTTGTTTTTTTGAGACAGGGTCTCCCCGTAGCCCTAGCTAGCCTAGAATTTGCTATGTAGACCATGCTGGCCTCAATCTAACAGAGATCCATGTGCCTCTGCCTCCCAAGTGTTAGGATTAAAGGTATTACTAAAGGTATGGACCACCACACCTGGCTTTTACATGGGTGCTGGAGATCTGAACTCAGGTCTCCAAGCTTGCACAGCAAGCACTTTACCCACTGAGTCACTCTCCAGTCCTTATGCTGAATATTTTGATGATGTCGAACTGTCCTCCCTGAAGCTCTTGTCCTTTGATTACTGGGATCCTATGATCCACTGGCCTTCCCTTCATCCTTCTACTCCCACACTCTCTCCCTTCTCTCTACTCTCCCTCACTGACTGCATTCATCCTCATCACTTCCACTCTCTCTGGGAATGACCACACTGCCAGCAAAACTTATCTCCCAAAATACAACGTGTACAGCTCCTTCACCAAACTGCTGGTTGTGGGTCTTTATTCTGCACTTTAGTTTGGAGTCTTCCTCTAAGCTTCTCTGCAGTTGGACACTCAGGTAGGGTTGTCTGCCTTAGCAAACAAAAATAGAAAACATAGAGCTGGAGTCGGGAGTATAACTCAGTGACAGAGTAGTTGTCTAGAATATAGAAGCTCTGGGCTCAATCATCAGAATTGAAAAAAGAAAAGAAAGGAAGGGAGGGAGGGAGGGAAGGAAGAAGGAAGGGAGGGAGAGAGAGAGGGATAGAAAGAAGACATTCAGCTTAATTTGAAATTCAAGTAAGCTAGGAATAATTGGTTCAGTAGAAATATGCCTCGTGCAATATTTGGACTACATTTACACTAAAAGTTACTCATTGTTCATCTGCAATTAATATTAACTGGGTGTCTTATATTTTCTCTGGAAACCCTAACCCTACCCCCCAGCCACCTTCATATCTGCCTCCTAGTACCAACCTTTCCTTCTGTTGTGCAGCCAGCACCCCCAACTCAGAATCTCTTAACATCAGCCCCTTCTCTTAACATAGGTGTTGTCTCCCACGTTCTCCTTCCTATCAGCAGCATCAAGTCAGCTGCCTGGCAGCTGGGATTCTGCCCCCCGCCCCCAATATGCCTCTACCCTTCTCCTACAGCAGAGCAGACTGATTTTTTTTTCCTGGAGTCCAGCTAATGTTCCAAATTCTTCCTTACTCTCCTACTAAGCACATAGCAATTCAGTCTCTCCCGTTTCTCTTCTTTCCTTTTTATTTATTTATTATTATTTGAGACAAGGTTTCCTATGGCCTAGGCTTCAAACTCACTGTGTAGCCAAGGATGACCTTGAACTTCTAATCCTCCTGCCTTCAGCTCCTTAGTGTCAGGATTATAGACATGTACCATCTTGCCTGCCTCCTTCCCATTCCAAAGTCCCAGATAAACAAATCACTGGGTCCCTCAAACATAATTTCTGGCCTCTACAATCTACACCAGCTCTTCTGTTCTGCCTTCCATGTGAGATCTGTCCCCTTCAGTTCATTGTGATTATCTATAAGACTTCCTCTTAGCCTGTCTACAAAACAATCAAACTCTCAGAAAGAATGACAACTTCAAGAAGATAGGTAAGATGGGACCTTTAAAAAGGTCTGTCTAGGGCTGGGGACCTGGTCAGCAGGTAAACATACTTGCCACCAAGCTTGACAACCTGAGCTTGATCTCTGGAACACAAACTGACTCTTACAAGTTGTCCTCTGACCCCATACAAGTGCCTGACATTCTGGCACCCCAGTGCATACACACACACACACACACACACACACACACACACACACACACAATGATAAATAAAAATGATATTTTAAGTCTGGAGGCTGAAGAGATGGTTTAGTGGTTAAGAGCACTTACTGCTCTTGCAGAGGACCCAGGTTTGGTTCCCAACACCCACATGATGGCTAACAACCATCCATAACTCCAGTTCCAGGGGTTCCGACGCCCTCTTCTGAACTCTGGGGGCTTTATACGACATGGGTGCACTTATATACATGCAGGCAAAATACTCAGACACATAAAATTAAAATAAATCAACCTAAAAAATTTTTTAAAGAAATAAATTTTAAGTCTGTCTACATAAACATAGTAATTTCACTTTGGGAAACTTAAGTCAAGGAAATGAGAAACATAAGCAAGGATATTTCTATGGAGGGATAGGTAGGTGGTAACTCACATCTGTACCCAGCACTCCAAAGGCTGAGGCAGGAGGACCTTAAGTTCCAGGTTAGCCTAGACTATATAGCAAAACCCTTTCTCAAGAAACCAAGTGCTGGAATATAGCTCAGTATAAGTTTGCCTGGCCTGCACAAGGCCCTGTGTTGGATCCCCAGCACCACGAAAACAAGAACCACACTGGAACTAAAGTACTCAAAGATGAGCAGCAACATTCAGCACTTTTATCCCGAAGTTCCCCATAGCTCTGTGTGTGTGTGCATGTGTGTGTGTGCGTGCGTGTGTGTGTGTGTGTCTGTGTGTCTGTGTGTGTGTGTGTCTGTGTGT